CATCGTGGATTTCTTCTTTTGTCTGATACATGCACAACAATCCGAATGCGCATTCCATCTTCGCGAGAATATGAAAAATGGCAATAAACATTTATTATATACCCCAATTTAAATAAAAGTTTTGTTGATATTTCATTTCGAAGATAAACATTCAGAGAGAGAGAGAGAGAGAGAGAGAGAGAGAGAGAGAGCGAATGAATTAAAAATAAACATGAAAGCAGTTCACATCAAGAATGTGTGGCTAACGATAGATATCAAGTCGAAACGAAGCCAATAATCTCGTTAAGTCTTCTCTATTATCTCAGATACTGAAGATGAACAATCATCCATGCATCGATGCTCGCATATATCCTTTAATGGTTATAAATGCATCTCTCCCTTTTCTGATGTCGAAACTGTTCAATTCTATTGACTTTCGTTGCGTCATCATACACACAGAGAGAGAGAAAGAGTGAGAAAAATATCGAAGCATAATATCAAATTTTATCGAGCACATCCAAACAATTTGATCGTTGATTCCGAAACTTACACGATCAACCAAAACGGAAATCAGATGCATTTCACAATGTGGTTGATACTGGTATAGAGTATATGCTGTGCATATAAAATTTCACAGCTCTTTTGATATACACTCACCAAGTACTCTACATACTAATGCAAACCGACGTACACACAAGTGTTTGAATGCATTTTTTTAGATGCGGTTCAAGTTGATTGGAAAATCGAATTATGTTGAATAAATGAAGGATGAAAAAATGAACTGGTGCAAAATGATTCAATAAAAGTCAGACGTTGTCGGTGATGACTTTCAGTCATTTTTGGTTAACTTCCGAAAAAGTGTGGATTATTGGCTAATTCATTTTTTTCAACTTTTGAATATCGACTTATAGCTTGAGCCATGCTTTCAACTGCCCAAATAAAAAAAGCATATCTGGAGCACATTATAATTTTAATTCGGAACTGGCTTAAATGTCGATTTTACAATTGAAAACCGAGCCCATTTTTACCCCAATCTTATTTGTGAACTAGAGTGCCTGCTTTTTCATCAAGTTGATTCGGAATATGAAATTAAGAATCAACCTTTAATACTTGTGAAATCAATCACTTGGAACATTTTGAAAATTATTAACGGACACAGTTGCTGCATCATTGAAGTGCATTAACATAATGTGTGCACTGAAGTTTTTTTTTTGTTCGACTTTCTACGATCGTATCCTCCGTCTCTTTTGCTTGCGCGTATCGATTCAATTCACGTTATTTAACCAGAACGAAGTGGCAATAGATTGTAAGAGAACATACATACGCTGTCATATACACACAAACACAAAGCCAACATCCGCTGCGCTACCTTTTTTCTGCCTCTTCTTTTTTTTCCTTTTATCATCACCATCAAAATATTTTTTGCTCCTCTCTATACATTTCAGCCGTACTTCATGCCATACGGTTGCCTGAATTATCACGATAACATAGTCAAATGGTGGCTGATGTGTCTGTTGCTGGCGTTTTATATTCCGTCCCATAAATTCACAGGAAAAACAAATGAGGATGGAACAAAAAAAGTGCATATAATTCAATATTTATTTAATATCTGATGTCTTTGCATCAGGCAACCATCTCTCTTTCTCGGTCTCTTTTCTCTGTGTTGTGTGTTTGTATAAAAAATATGATCAAAAGTTGACTGTTGCTCTGTGTGAGCGCGTTTTTTTCTTCGCTGTTCGGTTAAAATATATCAGTTTACATTGATAATGGCAGGAGCAAAAGTAAATGTGTACACACAATTTATGCGTTCTCCATTCCGACACATAATTTCATCGCATTTCAACTCCATGAACTCTATACTATTCTGAGAGTAACTTGTGACTGGTAACGCATTGCAATGCGTAGTTTTTTTTGTCAGTTTTATCGTTGGATCGCCTCTAGCGCGCGTTCTCTTTGAATTGCGTTCAATTTTAGTAGGAAGCCATTCACAGCGATGTAGAAAAAATGCACCAGATGTTTCAAATAGACTGATAAACATGCACCGACACTAACACATACGCACTTCATATATATATACGTATGCGTACATACATACAAAGATACAGAGAAATAAACATTCATTTTCAAACTATTGCTCATATCAGTTGGATTTTTATTAAATTATATTACAATGTTTGGATTTGTGCAGTGAATCAAAATATCCTTTTCAAGTTATTCAAAATTCCGTTTATAATATATAATATATATAGAAAAACGCTCGTAAATATATCGGGTAAAGTAACGAAGAGATTGCGAGATGATGGAATCATCGGTAATGAACTATAAAAATGATAATAAAATTGAACAAAGCAAGTCATAAAATACGGAAGGATCTCGTACCGTTAGAGCAAAATAAAAATTACAGAGCAAAACAGAACACTAAAGAAGAGAAAAAAAACTGCAAAGAGACAATCTGGCGTATTCCAGACAAGAATATGTTTATATGCAGCACTATTTCAATATTTTCTCGTTATCTCTTGTAATCCAACATGCCTGAACACATTGACGAACATACACAAACAGTATGTATGCATTACACACGGTGCAATTGACGAAAAACACACGTACACACACACACACGAGAGAATCATATACAAAACCGTATACATTTTATGCTCTTGTGTTTTTTTTTTGTGTCTTATTCTCGATAACTAGCTTCGGCCTGTGCAAATCAGCTTACGTTTAGTTTATGAATGCGAAGGGTGCAGTGAGGTGTGTACACGTTGTGTCAGTGTGTTTTTGTATATTTTATCGTATAAATGTTCGAAAAATTTTGTTCTCTGGTTGTCGTTTTCGTCGGAGTTAAATTTTCTACCATCGGATACATAAATATTTAATTTGCAGACGCAAGCTTTTTTTTAGCAATATTATTTTATCTTTTTAATTTTTACTTGTAACCACGAAAAAAAGAAGACGAACTGTAATTCAAGTGAAAAGTTAAACAAAAAGGAAATAATTTTCACTCGTTGCCAGCATATCGAAAACCACAAGCGAAAAGAAAAAAAAAACATTGTAAAACGGACGGAGGCAAATAATGTTTCTGCCTGAATCCACCGAAACCATTTTTCGAAGTAAAACTGTGTATGTTCAGTTACACTACACGTTTAATAGTAGATTACGATTACCATGTGCTACTTTGACTGAAATCGAGATGTGAAAATGTGTATATGTCGAGCGACGACAAATGAACAGAGAAAAAAAAAGCGCTCACAAACACACCGACCGAATGAGCAAGAGAAACGAAACGAAAATGAAAAGTAGAGAGAGAGAGAGAGAGAGAAAATGAGTAACCAGAAGTTGTAAACGGGTACCAACCATCGCGTTAAGGATATAAAAATAGAATTTATCAGATCGCACACAACGTAGTTGCCGTTGTGAAATGAGATTTTTTATCGTTTTTTCATGTTTTGCATAATTCAGTTTGGAAATCAAGTCGCACTTTTAGAGAATATTAAATTAAACAGCGCCATCGTATCTCTTCGGGTTTTTTTTCTTCTGTTGGACGTGTTTTCAGTGCGGGTTTTATGATTTTCTTTCCCGTTGTTGTTGCATATTTTTTTCTTCTTGTTTGGCATAAAGGAAGTGCCACCAAAAAGGTAAACAAAACGTATGACATTATAGCTGGTGAGAAAGAGCGTCACTGATTAAAACGAATGCCAAGCGGAGAGAATTTGGTGTGTTTATATCTGAATTTCGTGGTATACATACAGTTATCATTTAATGTTTATTATGTTTTCACTGTTTCATCAGTTTGCGCATTGTTTATTTCACTTTTTTCTTTCAATTCCGCGATGCTATTTACCTATAACGTGTGAGCGTGTTTGCCATTGCGATTCTTTGTCCGAATCCAAGTTCTCTATGTAATTTTAGTATGTGATGCAATCAACACACGGCATGATTGTTGACCGAGCAAGAGGGAAACACAAAGAAAACAAGAGACGGCGAATGTGTTTGCGATAGCGAGTGAAAATGTGGTGCAATCAACCAATTTGGAGAAGTGAATATCTGTGCCAACAGCAGATAGAGAGTGAAAGAACGTAACATGATTGTATTTCAATGGTTGCATGTATGTGTGTGTGTCGCGTGCAATGTGCTTGTGCATATTTTCCTTCCATTGGTACAGCCGCGCATCATATTGCAGTAGAATTGAATTCTCCACTCGCCTATTTCAAAATTTGCAACAACAATAGTAACAGCAACGTAACATAGCACATGGTTGCTGTGCGCTCTCAATAATTTTGTACATGTATACTGATACTAGAGTATTTTGTTGTCGCTTTTGCATGAACTACCATACTGATGTTTTTGTTGTTCAGAGTGTGTTTTCTGTCGCCCTGTTCGGTTCGCTGTATCTCTCTCATTCGTGTTGTGTGTATGAGTGCAACAATGTGCATGACACAAAACCGAATTGTGTGTTATCGTTTTGTCTTTTCCCGTTATGCTGTTTGCTTCGTCTTCGACAAAATTTTGTTGTTTTTTTTTTATCACTCTACATTTTGCCATTTCAATCGACAGTTGTGTTAGTGTAACTCTATTTGCCATCTGCACCAAATTGTTCCGTTTTGTGTATCATTTCAGTTCTTTTTTTCTGTCGTCCGTTTATTGTTTGTTTGTATCTTTCAAATCGTTGAGAGTGGTGGTGTTTTTTTTCTCTTCTTCGTGTGTTAAAATACGATGTGTATCGCATTTCGAACAACTGCAAGCTGAAGCAAAAATAAAATGCAAACTTAATCGTGTGAATATATATTTTCAAGTTATCTGTATTCGAGGACCATAACATGGATATCAGTTATGTGTTCGTGACTGCTTGCAACGTTGATTTTTTTTTCTTTCTTCTCATATTTCCCAATTCCATAGCATCTAAATTATCCTTGTATTATATAATTTTTGTGTAGATTGAAATTTTTAAAAACCATTGAACCCGTGTTTTTGTTTAAATATTCTAAATGTGTTTTTTTCTGTCTGTTTTGTTTCATTTTCAGTGTGCTATCAAATGAACCAGTTCGATAAACCAGTGTGGCCTATTTCCAGTGTGTGAAAAGAGCGCGCGGGATACATAATATTTAATGCACGAACGCATTTGAAGCAAAAGTGTTAGCCAACGCTTGAAAAATTACTTACAACAAAAACAACATTGCCACACCGTACAAACGCATCCACAATTCGCAGGAATGAAAAGGAAAATCATATAACAACTTGCAAAAAAAACATACCTTCTTTAGTTTCCATTTGAAGTTGCGTTGTTCATTTTTGAATTAATTCTTCATTTATTTCAATCGTTTCTGTTTGTTCGGAATATAACCAAATATTCTTCCGCCCCCATCCCGTTTGTTTCGTGTGTGTTTGTGTGTATAAAATCGTTAAATAAAAAGAAAGAAAGATATTAAGAAACAAATTGAAATAATCAAAAAGGAAAAAAAAAGAAGAAGGAAAAGAAGTTTTATTTAAAGTAGTATCAGTTCAGTAAACTTAAATGGATGCAACGATGACATCATTACCAGTGGTACCGTCAAAATTTTACCAAGTGTGTCGACTGTGTTTGACCGTCGTCAGTGACACCAATGACTTGATGAACTTATCAGTGTTCGGTCGTCACAATGCAGGTTACATTGGAAGTACTGCAACCAGCGCACAAACCAACAATGCCAATGAGGACAGTATGATTGTCACCGCATCAACCAATAACAATAACAGCAGCAGTAGCAGCAGTGGCGTCATTGTTAAAACAGCCAACAGAAAAATTTCGTCCCCGACCAATGAACATTTAGCCAGTAATTCGGTTACCAACAATGCCAGCGATAATGAAGCAGCTGCTTGTGGTCAGAGCACCACAATTCGCGGCGGTGGTAGCAGTAGTGACGGCGGTGATGATGATAACAACAATTTCAAAATTGATGGTGACCTACACCACGCGGATATACTCGAACGCATTTACAATTTTCTATCAATTACGGTAAGTAGCTCTTTATGTTTATCCGTTTTTCTTTTTTTGTTCAACATATTTTTTATTTTATTTTTCAACCTACATTATCGCATAAACGCAAGCAAAGTCCTTATTGTTCTTTACTGTTATTATTATCATTATCATGAGTGTTGCTTACAGCTTGAGGACACGTCCTTATCTATATCGTTCTCGATCAGCTCACGCAAACGCGTCGTTGTCACACGCAATTTTCAATGATGCGATGGCGAGAACCGTTCTCTTTGCTTAATGGAATAAACGGAGGACAGCAGTCATGCTGAAGATCTTCACATTAGATTAGATCATTAAATATTTGCCATAAATTTTAAGATTGATGCGAGTGCGTGAGATATATTCATCATCATATGATTCGTTTTGATAAAATGTGTTTCGTTTTTCGTTTTTTTTTTCTCTTAACGTGGCTGTTGTTACAAGTGAGTTCAAGCACATTTTCTCGAACAAACACGTATTTCGTTCTTCAAACCAAGCATTTTCAATATCCTCAAAAGTCAAGCCAGATGGAGATCACATTGTGTGTGCGTGAATGTGATAGCGAAACGAATTTAATAGCATCATGAAGTCCCAATGCGTACGAATGTAAGAGATTTGCGACATGACAAAACGACAACATTTAAAATGTTGCTTGTGCGATTTCAAGTGTTCTCAACCTGAAATTGCTTACATCTTATTTAGGGGGAGCGAGTCAAAATCAAAAAGGAAAAAAATGATACAAACTTGAAAATGCGAACGACGATTCTGTCGATTTCGCACATTTCTCACAATATACGAACATTTCATTCAGGCGCGAGCTCTCTCACTTGTTTATTTGTCGAAAATATTTATCGCATTCAATTTTATCGATGCTTTTTTTTATCAAATGCCTGCTATATTTCATTTGTTATTTTTTTTTTTAGAAAGCATGTCGGGGCAAATATTCTATCGCTTTTGACACGAAGCAATTGAGCCATACATACAAAATCTGTCCAATTAATTGTAAATATAGACGAACACGCAAAAAAAGCAAATTGGCTTTCCAACGAATGAATGAACGATAACAATAATAAGCTGTGGATTTATCCATGTCAGTCATTGTTGATCGATAATACATTCGATTCATCACAAATGATTCATAGCCGTGGGTTTTTTAAATTTTAACGAAATTTCACAATATTATCAAAGACGAGAAAAGAAGTTGTATGTCAGTGTGGGCGACCGCGTGACTAAAGCAACATGAAATAAAACTTGATTATGTCGTTATCGTCAATACATATGGACGGTGGCTAATTCCAGTAAATGTTGTGCTATTTCTGATGTAGCGGAGATGAAAAAACCACAATAACAAACACTTGCGCACATTTTTGACTTAATTAAGAGCATTTTGTTTTAACAACACACCTAAACATACACGAGCACGTCTTAACAGTTGACGTCAGGTAAAGCGTGTATTATTATTTTTTCCGTCTTCATCAGGTTTCAACATGTTTTTTGAAACCGTTGAAATGGTTCAGCAATGCCGATTTATGTGCAGAATATCGTGTAAAATGCGCGTTGATGAGCTACTGTGCGCGCATTTCTACTCTTAATAATCAAATCAAAACGAGCAAATGAAGATCAAAACCACACGTTGTGTGTTTAATAAAAAAAAAAGTGGCAGCGACGAAGACGACGACGACAAAAACAACAACAACAGCACATCGATTACATCCATTCAGCCCACAAAAAAACCAGTTTCTTGTCTTGGGCCGTATTGTTGTTCTGTGTTTTCTCGAACTTTTTCAATTTTACATTTTTCCATCATCATTATTATTCTGTTTGTAATACACAATTTATTTTTATTCTCTATGCTCTTTCTTTCTTTATCGTTCTCTGGACATTCGCACCGGCATTTCTGCGCAATATTGTCATATTTTACTTTTGCTTTTTTCACCTCTTTCTCTCTCTCTCTCACACACACTTTCTCTGTGTCTTAAATGCCGCATTCGCCGTTGAATAATGCCTTAAAGTGTTAAAATAAATTTGTTATGTCGCGTTGTTGTTGTTGCTGCCTTCATTCGGAGCCTGATGTTTTCTGTTCTTTGCTTATTTTTTGTTGTTGTTGTTCATCTTCTCACCTCGTTTTCATCGGTTCCTTAAGCAATGTTTATGGTCTATCGTTCACTTCTCATCTGAGCAGTTCGCAGTTTATTCACATTTGCTGTCTGCATTTCTATGCATGTCTATGTATATATGTGTGTGCTTGTGCATTCACGCAACGTGAGCACACAGAAAACTGATAACGATTGCGTGAATTGGAAAACCTGATGCAATTCCGAGATATATGTTTTGCAATGTGTGTTTGTGTGATATAAAATTGATTTTTGCTGAATCATAGAATTACAGCGTTTGCAAATTTTTTTCGTGCGAATGAGATGGAAAATGTTTGTGTGTAAATTATTGAAGTTTGTACGTACATACACGAACAGACTTGTGGGAAAAAACGAAAATATGCACAGACGAATCAAATGGTTGAAAACAAATTATAAATATATTGTATGACTTTTTATTAACTGCTTATTCGGAATTTTGTGTGTGGTATATGTCATTCGTGCCCCCGATGTATGTATACGTATTTAATGTCTACATGTATTTGCACGTTGAATGTTGCACGCTTACCGCTCACGTTGTGCACTCATTCAAAGCCGATAAATCGCTGAATTATGCTATCATTATACCAAATAGTTTATCGTCATTTTGAGTTATTTGTGTCGCTTGTTTTTTCACATCATCCATGTCGGATTTTGGTTTGTGTGCAGAGCATTGTGTATAACGCTTGTCAATTTCCATATTTCTATACACTCAATGGTTACCACCTTTTGTTTTGCTACGTTCGAAATCGACGAAACGGCAAAAAAGCAATATAAGTTCAAAAGTGCTGTATACTTCGCTTCTGTGCATATTCGGAGTTTCAGACGATTTTTTTTTTGCATATGCTTGCTTTGCTGCTGCTGATGATGACGACTATGTCGGCGGCAACCTCTTTACATCTATGACTATCATTCATGTGCGCTCCCTGAAAAAGTTCTTTGTTGTTAATTTCTCAATTAATCATTATGTGAAATAAATCAGCTAATCATAAATAATAATAGATATGTGTGTGCTCATCTCAATAAGTGATGAGATGAGCGCACGTTCGCGTAAAGAATGGAGTTACAGACCAACCACTGAATAGCTCAGAGAATGAGCGAGATGGAAAACTTTCAAAAATATAATAAATCCCAAATGAAACAGCATCATGCATAACCAATAGCAAAATGTGAACCGAGGTGCCGAAGCAAAAGGTAGAGAAAGAGAGATATAGAGAGCAAAGCAAGAATAAAGGAAAAAGTATACATCAAAAGATTGAAACGACTTGTCTAAAAATACAAGACATCGAAGATTGCTTAACTAAATGTCCATAACAAAGCCAACAACAGCACAAAATTACATGCAACAATGATTTCTCTCTTCGTTGTTCTATGCTCTTTTTTTCTTCTTTATCTTCACACATCTGCTGAATCCATGGAATTCGAATCAGTACACTTCCTTTGCTGGATAGCTGTATGCCCTCTACATGAAATGGTCATACACTCACATATGGAATCGATTCAGTGTACCGTAAGCATTTCAAAGTGTTAAGACTTGATATCAATCGTATCTTCGCTGCCATACACATTACTTTCGGTTGGCATTTTTCCATTAAACAAAAAAAAAAACATTAGAAATGTATTTAGATTGAGATCATTTCATGGAGCTTCAAACCGTGATGCTTCTCTTCCATTGTCCAAATTCAAATGAATCCATTCCACACATAAAAGAATGCATGATGTGTTTCAGCGTTTTTTTTTTGTTTTGTTTTTCTTCATCACGGTTTTTCTTTTGGGCGAAAATGAAAGAGGAAGAGAGAGCGAGAGAGTGATACCAAAATTCAATTGTGTATTATATTATGTTACAAACTTAAAAATATCGTACGTTGATTCAATAGCCGTACGCCTTTTAATTACGACCCGTGCAATGCGCACATGTGTACAACACGAAGAGAGATTACTATTATTTTTGAATCGCCGTGTATGCGTATGTGGAAATTTGATGCTAAATTAATGCCTTCACAAAACTTAAATAAAATCTAAATACGCTTCGGTTGTTGAAATTATTCAAGAAAAACCAAAAATCGTTGTTCTTTTTTTTTGCTCTCTTTCTCGCATCAAAATGCGCCTCAAAGCCAATATGGCAACTGACACAGCCACACACACACACAAAAAAAAACAATGCTTTTAACTTCGTACATGCGTTCGGTAATCTAAATCACATTAAAAACCATCCACTTTTAAGAAGGCTTACAATTTTAATTTTTGATTTTCTACTCTAATTAAGAACCAGCCAAAAACATTGCACCGTTAAAATGGTGGTTTTTGTAAACGTGTGTTTGGAAAACAAGTAATGCCATTCCATCGCTTAATCCTATTGATAGCAAAGTTCGGATAATGAAGAAACGGTTTTTTGAAACAAAAAAAAACAACGGGAAAGAAAGAAACACACACAAACAATGATGGCAACATCTATTTCGATTGATGATGAAAAACGACAAAACAAACGTGTGGTTTGAGCTTTAGGCACACATTTTCTATTTAAAGCATATATCCGTATCGAAAATTGACCGGTTTTTTTGATTGCACTACAATGACCAAATTGTACATCGCTGTGAGAATGGAAAACTATAAATAATGGTAATTTTTTAACTACGTGTAGTATGTGCTTGGTCTTAATGAAGGCCCGAATTCGAATACAACTTTAAAACAATACCGAAAATTTGGATCACAAGTATGGCTTGTTTTGTGATGCGAGTGAGTGCGCGCGCGCGTGGTTTGTTTCATCCGGGCGATATGCATTATTATGATTGTCGGTGTTAATCGAAGCTCTAATTCACATCCAACTTTGGCATGACACATTCGTGCTAATTTCCATTTTCGACATGG